GCTGAACCGAGCTGGCTATATCTTCTGCCGTGAACCTTGAATCACTAGCCACCTACACATGCATTAAGATGAAATCAAGTTAAAATAAGTATATCAGAGTAAATCATAGATTTTATATTATGATATATATGCTTTAGGGCTCATGTGAGACACTTAGCCAAAACATAGATCACAAAGGGTTTTAATGGAATCTAATGGCAAGTGATTCACGTTCCTGAACTCATCTAGTGAAATAAGACTAGATATTATTATGACAAATACTAACAACATACTCTTTAATACAATATTTTTTATCAATTAAAATTTATTAAAAACTACAAAATTAAGAGAAAGGAACCTCAAACAAAATATGAGATCTATCAAAATTTATGATTTTCAACAAATTTTAGAAGAAATTAATGTATTCAAAATAATGTGGTGTGTGTTTCTAGCATTTCTTATATTATTATTGATGGTGTTATTATGCTTAGGGCTTAAGTGGCACAACTTATGGGGAACCACATGTACCTTGACATTGAAGGAATAAAGAACTGTTTGTTCAATGGTGGTGATGTTGGTGTGAAGGATAATCAATTGCAGATCTTCTAGTGCAGCAATGGTCTTGATCAACTGTCCTGGCCTCCTCCTTGAGAGGATTTTGATCATGGCATCAAATCCTAGAAGCTTCACTTCAACATCAGCCAAACAAGACTTACTCTCCGCGGTTTCTTCGCGAAGCCCGGTCTCCAACTCCACAAGCTTCATCTGCTCATTTGGAATAGGCAAAGGTGGAAAGAAAGGAGGTTGCTGTTGTGCTGCAAGAGAGGGATCCCCTACTTGTCTTGTTTGAGCTTCTCCAAGTAGCCTCCTCCTCTTTTGTGATTCCAAACACTGAAGAAGTTGCTCCAATTCCCTCACAAACTCTATGGCCCCCCCAATTATAGAAGCTTGATCACCCTACACAAACACAAATTTAATCAAATTTGGAGACAAATAATAGATTAATAACATATATGAGAGTTGTTGTGGTATGGTATCAAGAGAAATCTAAAGAATTTGGTACAGTTCGTTTTTGAGCTATTTAATTGAATGAGTTTGAGCATACCAAAAGAGAAAATAGAGGGAGAGAGATGAAAAGAGAATTTCTCAATGACAAATAACAACGCTGAGATTCTTTTCAAGCATGCTATAGAATTTCTCAACATTATATATGTTAATTTCTTAATTTGTGCGTATGAAATTTTTGATATAAAAAACCAATCATTTCGAGTCAAACTGAATCGAACATCATAACTCTAGGGGACAAAGTTTTTCTTTTGAGCATTTAACACAGATACATATATACTTAAAATTTAGATTCGAAACCATTAGTTAAACTAAATTATTCAATACCGGTTGATCTATGTGCATGAAATGAAAGTGTTCATTTATTTTGTAAACAATGATTTGAATGCATAGTTGCGTACCCTTTGGACGTATGAACCAGGCATGAGGGATCTAAGGACACGAAGATGCTCATTCATTTGCTTCCTACGGTTCCTCTCAACCGCTATGTGAGTCATGCGTTGGCTCTCAACTTCTTCACTAGTCTTAACAGTTCTTGGTCTCTTCCTCTTGTTCTTGTTCTCCTGCGCTGCACAATTCTTCTGAGGCTCTTCATGGCCAAGAAACCGAATCTGCACAGAGTTGTTGTCATCAGAAACCCGAGTCTCTTCATCTTCTCTCATCATCATCATCATTCCCTCTTGATCTCCCACCCTTGACTTATCCTCCACCAAGTTGAACCTCTCATCATGATCTTCATCTTCACCATCAGGGTCATTGTTATTCACCATCAGATTCTGCTCCTCCTCCCCCTCCTCCTCCATCTTGTCATTCAACACAGGAAACTTGAGAAAGTAAACCGGGTCTATTCCAGATTCTTCACAGCTTTTAGTTTGGTTCAGTGCCAACTTGGGTCCAAAATCTGCAAACTGCATCACATCTGCAAAACTCAGCTTATCATAGGATGTTGTGGCTGAGCTGCTATTACCATAGAAGCCATGAGGTGGTGGTGGTGTTTGGGGCATGTAATCCACCATTGATCCATTGTTGTTGCTTTCACTTTGGAACTTCATTAGGTGGTGCTGATTTGGCGGATACAGATGGTGGTGTTGGTCTAGGGAGTAGTCTAGTGTGTTGAAGCTTGGAGGCATGGATGGTGGTGCCTGCAATGATGGTTCAACAAAATTGGAGCAAAACAACATTTGGTGATGATATGAGAGAGTGAAAAGATCTGACATGAAAAGCTTTAATGGGGACAAAAACATAAAAGAGCCACTGTTGAGAGATGTGTCTGTACCGAATAGTTGTGATCTTTCTCCATTCTTATTAGCTTATAAAGAAGATGGCTTTAATCGAGAGAAACCCTAATTGACCTCACTTCATGTAAGACAAAACCCCACTTCGAAGTTTCTTCAGGGCCCTCCACCTGCATCATTGGGAAACTCACTGATTAAGTACCATACATCATGTTAAAATCACTAAGGATTTAGTTCTATAAACTTCTCTAGAAAATATTTCTAAAAGAAAAAATAATAAAATAAATTTATTTATAATGTAAAATTAGCTTCTACAAATTCTAATATATAGAAATTGTCTTCTATTATCTCTTTCAAAATTTTATTTAAAATTTATACATAAGTTAATTTTAACTTTAAAAAAGATTTTAATTATTCTTCTTATTTTTATCTTTGAGTACTTTTGAAAACAATCTATCTATATATACCTTAATCAAAATTTAGAAATATTATTTTTTATAAATGATTATCCCTTTTTTTAATCCTCATTTGAAAAAATAAATGAATTTTCTTTATTATGTAAAGATAACAATAAAATTCAAACCTAAAATCTTATACAAATTATTCAAATTTGTCCCACACCGACTCAAATGATTTACAAAGAATCATTTCATTAAAATAAATTAAATCAAATGTGAAATGATTAATGGATAAATATAATCATTATAATTGACTTAATAGTAAAAGATTGAGTAAATACATGAAAATTTAGATTCAATACCTCTTCTATTATTGTAATATTTCTTATCAATAAAAAAAAATATATAAACGAGCACACGATTAAGGAACAAAGAAATATGTCACAAGTTAGAGTTTATATCATGTATATAAAAACTATACAATAATGAGAGTTGTGTATACTAAGTAAATGAAAGAGTTAGGAAGGATATTAGTGAACCTGTGATAGGAAGCAGACAAGGGTGAAAGTGAAGTGGGGTAGGTTGAAGACTTGTGTAGAAGAGAGAATCATGAAAGGGGGTGTGTGCCCCACGAGAAGACCACCAGAAGAAGAGGATGGAAATGGGTACGAATGGTTTAGGTTTAGTGTGTGTATATAATGTGTGTGGGGGAGCTGAGGGTTGGGTTTGACTTTGTTGGTAGTCACAGAAAAGGACAGAGAGAGAGCCTAAGGATGAGTAAATTTCCACCTCACAGGTTCACCACCTTTTATTAATGTGTGTCACAAGCCACCAACGCTCGTAGCTTACTTTACCGCCTTCTTTCATGAGCTAACCATGAACACTCTGCACTTTTTGTTACTTTGAATTTTCAATTACTTATGCTATAATTTTCTGTGTTTAATTTTTGAGAAAAGAAGTTTTTTTTTTTCTTTGGAGAATTTGTTGTGCATGACTCACATGGCCACATGAAATTTTTTCCCTAAAATAGACAAACATTCATGACCTTTTAAGTTAGTAGCTAGGTGTTTGTGAGTATCGTGGAGTTATTTGTATAAAAGTTTGAAAATTATATAATAATTTTTTTAAAAATAATAATACAATTTTTGCATTAATTGATCTATTGAAAAAAAAAAAACATATTTTTCTGTGTTTTGAATGAATATTTGTATAGGTACATCAGTGGAGATTAATTAGTGTGTGGTCGTTTTCTATTTTTTATTTTGGAATTTTCTTCTCCTTTTAAAGAGATGTTAAAATATTTTTTCGCAATTTTTTTTTATAAAGAATAACTTTTAAGGAAGAAAAGATAAAAGATGATTTTTTCCTTAAAAAGAAAAACTCCCTTTGTATTGGTTAGGTTATGGATGTGCAAAAAATTCAAATTGATCCGAATCGATCTATAACTGATCTGATCCATATTGAAAAAGTCTATCTATTTTGAAAAAAAATTCGAACCGATCCACATAAAACTAGTTCAATTATCCAATCCATTTTTACAAAATAGATTGGTTCGGTTCAGTTTGATTTTTTTAAAAAATCGATCCATATATGAATAAAAAATAAATAACCGCACCGTACTAAACCGATTCAATTTTTAAAAAGCCAATCCATATTTAAAAAAACCTAAACCGATCCACTTTATAAAAAACGGATCGATTAACCAATCAACTTTTGTAAAATGCATTGATTCGGTTCTGTTTGTATTTTCCAGAAAATCAATCCATGAACACCTCTAGGTTGGGTTATTAGAGGTAAGGGTGAAAAGGTTAGACTTTGAATATATAGATTAAGTTTTTATTTATTTATAAAATTTAAATTTAAATTTGACCTATTAATTATCAATTATTTTTTTTATAGGTTGACCTTTTAAATATTTGGCCTAATCTATTAACCTATTTAAAAGTTTATTTTATATCAATGACATTAATTAAGTTAATAAACACAATTTTTAAAAACTAACAAAACTATTTTTAAATATGTCGTTATTTTTTTTTTAAATTTGTGCTATAAAAAATAATTTACTCAATATTATTAAAATTTAGATTTTAAAAGATATATATAAAATGTCACAAAGAGAGAAAAAAATGAATATATTTTGTTAGAGGGATAATTTATGCATGTATGTATGTAGGTTGACTTAGACTCACATACAAGTTGTAAGCATGTAATGAAAAAATGTAATTTTATTCTTATATAAAAAATACTTTTTAAATATTTCTTATATCTCATTTGACATATTCTAAATAATTGACTCATATCATAACAAACTAAAATAATTATAGTAAAAAATTAAAAAAAATACCTATTATATATGAGGTGATCTCTAAAGTACATATATAATGCCACAAAGAAAGAATAAAATAAATTATTTTCTATTAAAAAGATAGTTCATGTACACTCATGTATAAGGATGTACAATAGAAACAATTGTTAGAGTTTCTATTTATGATTTCTTAATTTTATATGAATATGATACATAAAACATTTAAGCAAAATGATAAAAAATATTGATAATTTTTTTATAAATTTATTTATTTATATTGTTGATAATATATGTGTATATATATATATTAATTTTTTTTATTATATTATACAAATAAATAAATAAATAATTTTATTAAGTCTAACAGATTATTTTATAAGTCTAAGTCCAGAATTTTTTAAAAAATCTAAATCTCACTATTTATTAAATAGGTAAAATCAGACTAAATTTCAAAATAATAAATCATAGAATTTTGATTAAGGTTTAAACTATTTTCATTCTTTAAGTATAACAAAAATACATTAGTACATATATGAATAACATATGAGATTAAATATTCCTACTAAAAATGCATTACAAAACTTCGATGCAAAATCCTTCTAAAATGAAAAATAGCTTCATAAATATCCAAATCAAAGGTCATGAATCATAAATGAGAATGAATCTATTTAATTTAAATTCCATGAGACAATTTAGAGCTTTCTTGTTGTTCCGATTGAGAATCATCAAGTCTTGCATTTAACCTTTCCACCAAGGTGATCAACTATGAAGACAACATAGTTCAAAAATAAGAATTGTGAAAGTAAAGGTTGCTCTATTTAAAATTAATACAAATAATCGCAAAATAAAAAAGTTCCACATATTGCAAAACTGGCGTGCTATATATACAAATGGGTGAATGTCTCTCACTATTAGATATTTTGGAATCTGCATGTCAAAGAAATACAACAAAATGAATGACATCTAGTTTCACTGTGTAAACCTCTGTTTTCAATTCATTATATAGCATCAATCTTTAACACAGCTAAACTGGGAGTGAAAGGATAACTTCCTCAATGCAAAGAGAACCATGGATCCTACAAAAATTATTTAATTTTATCCTCAGCCATCTTCCTGCGTATCTTGGCTGGTTGCAGATAAAAAACTTCTTATTTTTTGCATGATGCTGCAAATAAAACAAACAGAAAGTTAGACATAATTAAATAGTAAGAAATTATGTGTTACCACAGTAACAATGTCACAAGCTAAAGGAACACATCCTCAGCTTATTCAGAGGTGAATCATTAACAAACCAGAAATAAGTAATATAACAAGTTAACAACTGCAACCTAATACAATCAAACTAAAATGTGTAACATAAAATCTTAGTTATAAATATTGAACCATATACCCAACATTAAATAACTTCAAACTATTACTAATTAAAACTTATAAGCAACAACTGTAAGTCTATACCTTCAATGCACAATGCTCGCAGAAGTAATGTTTTCACTTGGTTACAAAAGGATCCACAAAAGGGTTTCCACAAATGAAACATGCAAAGCATGATCTTCATCAGGCAAATTAGCACCCCTCCTCATCTTAATCTAATTACATAATTATATATTAATTATCTTATATATTTCTCATCTTACTAAAAGCTGTTTCACTAGCAATTGTTTGCTCCCTACCAAACCCAGTCTTGTAATCTTTGTAATTGTAATTCCCTTAAGTGTTCTTTCAGGGATGGCACGAGTATCTTTGAAGACATGAACTGAAAGACTGATTTTCCAGATTCTTCACTTGGGTCAGCAGATGCAGAGGCTTTTGAAGAGCCAGTGAAATAGTACAGTTTATTGTCAGGCTTGAAAGTCTTCTTCTAAATGTGCAATAGAGAAGTTCCTTTATTTGAGTCTTCTTCATTATCTTCATTATTAATAGTCCGTTTCCTTATATTCTTTCTATTAACCGGTTTTCTGAAAAAACTACACACTGAAAATAAAAAAAAATATAGTAACATGAATCAATGCAGAGAACAAAAGCAAACAAGATTGTACATTTGAGTCCAATGCAAAGGCAGAAATTAACAAATTATAGATAAAATAAGCAGACATACCTTGTTCAGCTTGCTGGTTTTCAGCAGACTTGACCAGCTGATTAGAATCTTCCACAACTAGAATGATTTATACAACTGCCACAGATAAAGAATAAAATCAAATCAAGGAATAACACTATATATCATATTTACAAAATTATTATAACAAATTGTATAAACCACTGTAGTAGAATGTGGAATCAAATTGTGAATCAGATGGCCCATTTTCCAAATCGAACAGTTAAGATTCAAGATCAATAATAAAACATAGCATGTACATTGTACAATTAACAAAGACATATTAAAACACATATTTATGATCAATAACTAAAAGAACATAACTCTAGGAGAATGAGATGCATGAGTTATGTCAAAATTTTTCATAATAGAATAACAAAAATCCTGCAATACTTCTCCAGCTAGCGGTTCTTGCGATTTAGGTCCATTTAAAGGTGCAATTCAAACACCAAAATGATTTGCTCACCAATTAGTATCACTAGCTTCTCAAATCAAAATGTATCACAAATCATTCGATACTGATGTATAAACCAATGACATTCTAAATCATTTAAAACAATAATTTAAATTATTTTCATTTAGATAGAATTTACTCAACAAAAGGCAACCTGATCACACCAACCCATTCATTATTCCCCTTTTACTAGTTAAACACTTAAACTAAAGGATCTGAAAACTCACTTTGGAATTAAATGATTCCAATATTTGATGAGAAAATCAATTGATATTATATGCACATGCATAACAAATCATGGATGAGTTGAAATATCAACCGTTGATTTTCTTATCAATGATTGAGGCTATTTACTTTGTTTCTGCTCACTAGGAGCTTGATAAGGTTAGAAGGCAAGTGATGGTGCGGAAAGCTGAAACATGTTGCTGCGCTTATCTAAGAATTCAATCCATAATAATTAATAGAACCTAAAGACGCATTTTGAAAATCTAAATATGCATGCTTCATGATTTTTCATTAATATCTTTCAAACTTTCCAAGTCCTAACGTCCTTTTTATGAGAGACGTAATCTTTAAAATCAGTTGAAAACAGGATCAAAGGGTTAAGGTCACACACTTCTCTTTTTGATTTTAATAGGTTGAGATTTGAGAATGTCCTGTTGTTTCCATGCTTCGGGAGCTCCTTTCCTTGATAATAGACATCCATTTCATTACTTTTGTGGGTCCGGACGAAATTGGGTGTCTACAGTCAAGCCTGGCCAATGGCCGAGTTACATCAAAACGTTGATGAAGGCACCTCG